CCAAAATTGTGCAGAACAAGCAGTGTTGGAAACATGTTCACTTTCCTCGGCTGATTCCAGGAATTTCCTCACTACATAATGAAATCTCCACACTAATCAGATAGAATTGTGCATAAACCAATACGAATTTTCCATAATTTTCATACTCTCGCCAGTTGACCATGTGCATATTCTCTCACAAAATAGACTCTAAACCGACCGTTCCTACCTCAGCGTTCTGCTCTGGCTCCACCACTATGCTATGCGGCGTGCCCGAAGCCAGCTTAGCCAGGCGTATCCTTTCTGCTTTCAACTTCTCCTTAGTCTCTTGTTCCGCCAATTCGAAGTCTCTCATTTGCTTATAGTTCGGGACCGAACCTGCAAAATCAATACCCCAACAAACTTCAGCCAAGATGGTCACGATGATCCAATCTCAGTACAACCTACTCATCACGATGATCAATGCTCACTTGAAAATGTGGACGCTACCTCCAGTGCTGTGGGAGTATATGCTCGTTTTCCTCACTAATCATAGGAGTTCATATACGAATTCGGGTAGAAGTGTACAGGGACCACCAAGAACTTCCCGAGATTTTCTCAGAATTTTCATATCGTCACCAACACATGTAATTGACACTCTTGCTACCTTCATAATCCTCAGCCTCGAAACCCACGAGCGGGTTGTGTTCGCCCAGTCTAGCGAGTTCCTCATACTCCTCTCGAGGCGCCTCTCTGAAGACTTTATTGTCGTTATACCCCACTTCGCCATATTCCGAGATCGTCCGTTCTTTACTCAACCAGTCACGGGCTACCTGCAAAACGGAGTGATGAGGATTTTATGAATTTATTATAATAGAGATTCACCCGTGATATGAAAACCGCTAGTGAAAAACATGTTTCACAGTTCACTTCGCGGAAAAATTCATCCGTGTTTTTCACCTAGAGTATCACGCCATTTCGCGTAAAACGGATGAAACTATTGAGAAACATTTCTCCCATCGTATTGATCTATTACATGATGAATTAAATTGTATAACGAAATTTCCATTTTTTCAGTGCCATTTCTCCGACATTACGCGAAATAGCAAATTTCACTCCAAGTGAAACGCGCGATACAAATCTTCACATCAGTAAACTTCTTACCGCTCTCTCGCCAACAGCCTCATCCGCAGACCTCGGCATGTCCGCTTGCGTCTTCGCCACTCCATCGCTCGACCACGGCACCTCAATAGGAGGCCCCGCTGTTTGAATTTCCGACAAATTCTCAATATTCTGCCGATACCTATTCACACAGGATCAGAAAATCATCCAGAAATCTCCAATGGGGGGAAACTCATTTTGAATTTTCCACGTATGGCTAGGAACACATTCTTCTATCAGTTTCCCATGTAAATGCCATCATCACATTTTTATCAAGCCTTAGGGGGCATGCACAGAATCCTTGCGAATCCTCCTTACGCTGATAGTCGCCATGCTCTCTCCTTTGGCATGACCATTACAATATCAGTAGCGCTACAGGTGCCGTCCTTCCCCCTTCGCTGCTTCTTCAACCCTACTATCTGTACTGCCATACCCGGCGTGGCCTTCGTAACTGATGGGCAACAACGTCATACCAATCATCGAGATTGTCAAAATTGAACTTATTAGTGGT